AAGATATTGGGTATTCGTCATTTAGGACATGACATGACCTGAAGAACAAGGTCATATCTTCAAACCCAAAAGCCACAGAAACTTGAAATTTTCAATGGACGCTGAGAAAAGATAGAAAAGCAGCAATACAAAAAAAAATCAGGTTTCTAGCTTTAAAAATGTTAAGTGTAGAGCAGAAAAACTAACTTGGGGGTGGCGACCCTCCCCCCAGGTGCGGGCGAAGGTTAACCCTCACACTTTCTGGGGTCGGCTTACGGCTAGATTCCTTGCGCAATGCTGTGCCGTTAATTTTTTTCTATAATAAAGGCATTGTGTTTTATTGTCAAAAGTGAAAAAGCCAGAAATTTTCGTCGATTTCGGATGCCGCGGGGGATATTTACATACAATGTCACCCTGCTGGCCTGAATCCACCAGTAGGGTCAGGTGACCTACCATTTCTTTATCAATATTCAAAAAAAAAATCATGGCATCAGAGCTGTGACGAAAAATAAGTGGCCTAAATCCGATGAGAAAACTGGATTTGGGGGTACCCCAGGTTTGGCTTCTGAGCCTCTGGTCCCCCAATGAAAATTTCTTAGAGGAGGCCCTGGCGTGGTTCGTAAATTACCGCTTCCGCAATTGGAGGCCCCTAATTGCTTGGAGGTCCCCACTAAATGGAGGCCCCCTTGGACGTTTGGGACCCCAATGATGATGTCAAAGTTTCACCCATGGATCCATACCCAGTAAACATGCCGACGTCGGGCCGATGCTCGGTCCGACGTCGGCCCGAAGTCGGTTCAACTTCGGCCCGACATCGGCTGGATGTCGGGTACGCCCGCATGTACCGACGTCCAGCCGAAGTCCAGCCGACGTCGGGCCGAGGTCGTCTGCCGAGGTTGACGAGATCGTTTGTCGTTGGATCGACGGGGCCGACGTCGGCATGTTTATTGGGACAACGCGCCAAAAATATGAACCGGCGGCGGGATTCGAGCCCCCGGCCCCCAGTCGCCGACGTCGGCATGTTTACTGGGACAACGCGCCAAAAGTATCATCCGGCGATGGGATTCGAACCCCGTGTCATTTTAACGCAAGGTTAGTGCGCAGACAATTCGATGCAGACAAAACAAATCCACGGTAAATGAACACTGGTGGCATATGAGTGTGCCACAAGTGATTGCGAGTTTTTAACTCTATAGTCCCAGTAAAAATAAACATGCCGACGTCGGCCCGACGTCGGCCGACGTCGGGGTGACGTCGGCATCTCGGCATCGGCATGCCGACGTCGGTCCAACCTCGGCACGACGTCGGCTGGATGTCGGGTATGCCCGCATGTACCGACGTCCAGCCGAGGTCCAGCCGACGTCGCGCCGACGTCGGACCAAGATCAATTGCTGAGGTCCAGCCGACGTCGGGGCGACGTCGGACCGACATCGGCCGCTGTTTTGACCGTTAAAATAATATAAAATGCATGTTTCATGTTTCATAAAGAGCTTCTGTACTCAAAATATCCTCAGGAAACTCAAATCTTCCTCCACGCCGCAACCCCCTGATCCGGACTGGACGGGAAACTTTATCCCATTTGGGATTGCCCGTAAGCCGAGCTCGCCCGTAGCCGGGTGCGGTGAGTGCTTGGGGGCTGCTCGGCCTATCCTTTGGTCAGGCTCAGCCCCGGCAACTGACTAGGGCCGGGCCCAGTTCATATAGAAAGGCCAGTCGGCAAGTGTCACTTTGTCAAAGTGCCACTTATCAAAGGGACACTTTGGGAAACGTTGGTGCAGGTGTGTAAGGGTGGCTATATGAATCCATTTGTGGGGTCGCCCTTTCCAATAAGTGTCACGTAACAGCAATGGGACTCTATATGAACTGGACCCAGGGTGCTCGCCAAGAAGACCAATGTCTCCATCCTATCATTCTTCCGGCTCTGAAATGGTCTTGTCAGACTGAAAGGGCATAACCCAACAAAACAAACTAAATTCGCCATCTGGCTGCGTGGTGTAGTGGTTAGCGCTCTAACCTCGCGTTCAAATGACACGTGGTTCGAATCCCGTCGCCGGCTGATGCTTTTGGCGTGTTGTCCCAGTAACATGCCGACGTCGGCGACTGTACTGAGATTTTTCCGTTATCTCGTATTGAAAAGACTCGCTTCGCTCGCTGCGCTCGCTCGCTCGTAACAACGCAGAGTAAAATGAAGACCACCATTGGATTCCTCGTGATGAGCTGCATCGAATAGGTACCCTTTTTATGCAAAAATGTCAACTTGGAAATTTGACTTTTTTACCTGACCTTGACCTGACCTCCACCAGAGTCCAGAACGGAACCTAACTGGCTCTGATGGTCGTCTAACCTACACCATTGAATGTGAAATGTAAAATTGGTCATAAATATGTATCACACGACTCCGGTATACCTGGATCCATTACCCTTTGTGACCTGACCTCTGTGACCTGACCTGGCATCAGTAACCTCCTAAGCAACATATATATTAGGCGACTAACGGTGCATCGATTATTTTTTACAAAATGCCTTTTATTCAATGTTATAACGCACTCCTTAGAGGGGCCGTAATCGGTGAAAATGCAACCTTTGACCTGACATTTGACGTCATCAGTTTCACCTACGTCAACGAAACTACGTCACCAGGTAGTTTCCTGGTGGCGCTATCAAATGCCGTTTTAATTTTTATAATCGGTCTGTAACTTACCGAGATCTTAGGGGGAAGGGGGGGGGGGCGAAATGGCCTCCCCCTAAGATCTCAGTAAGTTACTGACCGATTTTGAAAATTCAAACGGCGTTCGATAGCGCCACCAGCGAGCTACCTTGCTTGTGACCAATTTCGTTGCCCTAGGTGCAGCCGATGAGGTTGCAGGTCGGGTCCAAGGTAGCATTTTTCACCGATTACGGGCCTCGTAAGGAATGTGTTATGCTCGTAACATCGAATAAAAGGCATGCTATCGAAAATTATCGATGCAGTATTGGTCGCCTAATCCATATGTTTTGCTTAGGAGGTCACTGATGCCAGGTCAGGTCACAGAGGTCAGGTCACAAAGGGTCATAATATGGACCAAACGATACTAGGACTGTGTTTTGTGGCCCATTGATATTTTTACATAAAAAGGGTAGGGGAGAGTGGGGTAAGATGCCCTGGGTGGGAAAGACGCTCCATCCCTCTAACGCGAAAACAAAGAAGCAAACCTGGAAATTAATGCGCTTTGCGTAAAGCGGAAGCCTTCCTTGTTTACTGCACAAAAATTTGCCAAGCTCAGTTTGGCAACGGTGGGCTGGTGGCTGCTTGTTTTATGTGTGCTGCTTTCAAAAAATATTTTGGTGTCAAAACATTGTGAATATTAGATAAAATATATAATTTGTAAGTCCCTTGCTATGGTCGTGATACATTTATATCCGTGTACTTTGTCCCAACTAGTTTTTTTCGGGTGTAGCTTTAGTGCTAACAAATTGATTAAATGTTAAAGGTAGTGTGCCAGCTTTCCTGGACCGTATGGAGTTAATGGCCCAGATAACGAGAACCGGATTTTTAGAACTTATCCATACCTTCAAAACTCATGGAAACGTCTTAAATTCTTCAAATTTTGGGTACCCCAGTGCGAAATTCGCCCCGACGGGTTGTCGGTCGTACCCCAACCACATTTTACACCACTATGAACAATAAATGCACACACTGAAATCGCTAATACCGATATGCTCATCCAATCAAGTTTCGATAAACCCGTTCATCATCATCTCCTGCGGTTTCGAACACGCCTGTTAGGTGGTGCGGTAGACCGCGCCCAAAGCCAGGGCCCCGGTAACGTGAGGTAGCCGAGTCGGGGCAGCGTGCGCTGACCCAAGCCGGGGCCGCGCGTCCTCCCGGTGTCATGTGATAGCCCGGGGCTGCCCGCGGGGATGCGGTAGACCGCGCCCAAAGCTGCGGCCCCGGCTTGGGTCAGCGCACGCTGCCCCGACTCGGCTACCTCACGTTACCGGGGCCCTGGCTTTGGGCGCGGCTTCTGCTCATACTTTGTGGTGCGGTGGTGGTGCGTCGGGCCGCGCGCTCTGACTTCGGCCAAGAAAAATGCGTCAGCTGATCATTGTCATTTCTGCCACTTGCGTGGTGAAATGGGGTCATAACTTAAGAGGCGGCTTTTTCATATCAATTATTTTACATAAAATCATATTTCAAACCATAAATAATGTTCGACAGCCAAATAAAAGAAACAATACCAATACAGGCTTACAGTTTAAGGCTCGACATTGTGTTGTCTACGATTAGACAGCTGATAACTCATTCCCGTACGTCGTAACTCTATAATGACCTTTGCTTATTGTCACATGTGCGCCGCATTCGCGATTGTTGCCGACGCCTGTTTGCAGGTGAGCCCACTACAGTTCTTATACATATCGAAAAATCGATAAACTTTTAGGCGAAAAAGGCACTATTCCAGGCCCATTTTTGACTTTTTTTGCGATATTAGGTAAAAACAGAAGCTTCTTATCCTAGGAAAAATAAAATGGGAAATCTTTCAAAGGTGGCACACTACCTTTAATTCGGTACCTTGGGGAAAGATGCCCCCTGACCTGATGGGGAAAGACACTCCCTTAATCCGTAGGCTGCCCTTCAAGGAACCCGTCGAATCATTTAGTACATACTTGCGAAGAGAGACAAAAGCCGATTTGGGACTATTGAGAGTCCAATACTCGTGCTCGCCATGTCGGTCTCTTGGCCCATACGCCGACTTTTTGGGCGGCATCTGACTCTGAGAGCCCTCACGACGGCCTATATGTTGGCCCCATTATTCGCTTCGAGCCAGGGTTAGTACCTACATCGACCCCCGGTGTCCTGGCGGGGGTTAAATAATTTGAAGCATATTTACTTGGACATTCTTGTGTCACCATGAATGCATTGATTTTTAAGCGAGCTAAACGCAGGGCAGGGTACCTACGAGTGCACTGAATCATTGGTTTTACAAACTAATGAAGAGGTGCAGCTGCCGACAACTCACGAAGCAAATAAATTGAATATCAAGAGGTGGCAACAACCAAGATTACTGAAACATAGCTGAAGCAACATGTCCCTAAATTATCGTAGCAGTCATCGCGTCATGATCGAATGAGGCGAATCGCCGACAGTCTTTGGATATCTGTGTAATGTGTAGGTAGACGAAACAAACATTTTTTGTTAGAAAATTCAAAAGTTTTAGCAAAATCCTTGGCATCTTTTTTTTAACTGAAACAACACGTGGGTAACAGTTGGTCACCGTCACAGAGGGAAGCTATTTGTGCAGCTCTACAAGATACAATAAATTAAACATGAGTGGACGTTGGAATGACGACAGTTTAAACTGTGATTTCAAGAGCATACACTGTAAGTTGGACCAATTCGAAAAGAGTTTACAATCCGTCACCGATAATATGTCTGAAGATATGGTCTATGAAAAGGTAAGAAAATTGAAAAAGCATCGCTATTCCTTACGGGTGGGTACAAAACTACCTATTTATGAAGGTTATACTTTACCATGGCTGGGATCTCTGTCAATCATTTATTTTAAATGCATGCTAGCCGGCGCATGTCAGACGAAGTTTCGATACACAATGCCTACCTTTGTTAGCCTATTGATGGTGTTGTAGAGGATCGATTAATAATATCAGTTCATAACTGCACCGAATAATTTGATGCGAATCTCGTCCGATAGGAAAATTCTGGTGTGGAAATATGATATCAACAATTTGTTTTGTTAATAACTTTATCAGCGTTATCATATTTTCATTGTTACTCAACTTTAGAGAAGCTTGGAAGATCGCATCGACATGCTCCAAAGAGAACTGGATAATTTTGAACATGACGGCGCGTCAAGCAGGGGTCGTGAGCCTTATCGAAGCTCATCACCAGGAGAGCTCGCTAAGGGGAAAGGAAGGTCCAGATCGTTTCAGGTAAGCAGTGATAGAAGTGATTGCAATGAATGCAGTAACAGTGATTTTTTTCAGTCATACTCTGGCAACTCAAGTACCTAAAACACAAGCACTAAAGTCACGCTGGGGTAGTGGGCAGAATCAGCCCATTTGCGTATTTCTGCTGTATATTTTAAAGGTTTCAGAATAACTGCATGAGGCTCAAATTGTCTTACCCTACGTCACTTCGACGAGTTACGTCGTCCACTCCAGAAATTTTAAGGCTTTTTCAGTAGAGAGATGTATTTATATCGGAGAAGGTTGAAAGTTCAGTCACCCTCGAAGTAGGATCGCCGTGTTCGGTGCACCTGTCTGCGTGTAGCGCGCTCAGTAGCGTGTTGTGCGGCGCTGCAGCTCTCTCAGTCTGCGCTGACGTGTGTCGCACCGGCAGAGTTTGGGCCGGGCGTCCCAGTCGCGTCGCGCCTCCCCCGGCGGCGGCTGCAAGTGCCGCTGTACCGCCTTCCTCGACACGCGGACCACGGTGAGTGGACGGTCCCCGGGGTACAGGGAGTGGGGACGGTCCCCGGGGCAGAGGGAGTGGGGACGGCCCCCGGGACAGAGGGAGAGAGGACGGTCCCCGGGGTACAGGGAGTGGGGACGGTCCCCGGGGCAGAGGGAGTGGGGACGGTCCCCGGGGCAGAGGAAGTGGGGACGGTTCCCGGGCCACAGGGAGTGAACGGTCCCCGGGGCAGAGGGAGAGGGTGTGGGGACGGTCCGGAACCACAGGGGGTGGGGACGGTCCACGGGCCACGGTGAGTGAACGGTCCCCGGACCACAGGGAGTGGGGACCGGACGGGTTACGGACCACGGGGAGTGGACGGTCCCCGGACCACGGTGAGTGGGGACCGGACGGGTTACGGACCATGGGAAGTGGAACTGACAGTCAAATGAATATCGTCTTCGGGATCTTCTCGACTTTAACATCTATTCAGCCATCTCAACCCAATTATATGTAGAGGTGGCACAGTCGCTTTGCCAGAACAAATCAACACTCAGGTACCACTTCTCTTTCTCTGACCACCTGCTCCAGTCGGCGACCGCGCTGTGGTGTCACCGCGCTGTGGTGTCTCCGCGCTGTGATGTCCCCGCGCTGTGGTGTGGTGTCACTGTGCTGTGCGTGTCACCGCGCTGTTCTGTCCTCCAGTCGAACCCGGAGCGGGACAGTCTGATGCAGGAACTGCGCCAGGAGCTGCGGGACATCAACAACCAGAAACACGAGCTGCAGGAGAAAATGTTCGGCCTGGAGGAGGCGCAGCGGCTGAGCGACAACGACACCCAGGTGGGCACAGTGACCGAGTAAAGTATACGAGTACACCCAGATCCTCGCAGCGACCGACTGAATACACCCAGGTGGGCGCAACGGCTGACCAAACCCAGCACAATCACGGGTTAAGCGTAGGGGTAGGAGTAACGGGTAACGGGTTACATTTTTGACCATATTCACAATCGAAGTATACCCCTGATGGTCGCCCGGCGCCACGCAGACGGCACCACGCAGGCCAGGTGCCGTGTGGTGTCAGGTGCCGTGGCCAGGTGTGTGTGTTTGCCTCTAAAATGCGCTGTGTCTCACTTCATACAGCGTGGTGTCTGACTGTATGTCTGACTGTATGTCTGACTGTATGTCTGACTCCATGACTGTATGTCTGACTGTATGTCTGACTGTATGTCTGACGGTACGTCTGACTGTATGTCTGACTTTATGTCTGACTGTATGTCTGACTGTATGTCTGGCCGCAGATGCTGCAGAGCCAGCTGGAGTCGGACCGGGTCCGGTGTCTGACTGTATGTCTGACTGTATGTCTGACTGTATGTCTGACTGTATGTCTGACTGTATGTCTGACTGTATGTCTGCCGCAGATGCTGCAGAGCCAGCTGGAGTCGGACCGGGTCCGGTGTCTGACTGTATGTCTGGCTGTATGTCTGACTGTATGTCTGACTGAATGTCTGACTGTATGTCTGCCGCAGATGCTGCAGAGCCAGCTGGAGTCGGACCGGGTCCGGTGGCTGACTGTATGTCTGACTGTATGTCTGACTGTATGTCTGACTGTGTGTCTGACTGTATGTCTGACTGTATGTCTGACTGTATGTCTGACTGTATGTCTGACTGTATGTCTGACTGTATGTCTGGCCGCAGATGCTGCAGAGCCAGCTGGAGTCGGACCGGGTCCGGTGTCTGACTGTATGTCTGACTGTATGTCTGACTGTATGTCTGACTGTATGTCTGACTGTATGTCTGCCGCAGATGCTGCAGAGCCAGCTGGAGTCGGACCGGGTCCGGTGTCTGACTGTATGTCTGGCTGTATGTCTGACTGTATGTCTGACTGAATGTCTGACTGTATGTCTGCCGCAGATGCTGCAGAGCCAGCTGGAGTCGGACCGGGTCCGGTGGCTGACTGTATGTCTGACTGTATGTCTGACTGTATGTCTGACTGTATGTCTGACTGTATGTCTGACTGTATGTCTGACTGTATGTCTGGCCGCAGATGCTGCAGAGCCAGCTGGAGTCGGACCGGGTCTGGTGTCTGACTGTATGTCTGACTGTATGTCTGACTATATGTCTGACTGTATGTCTGGCCGCAGATGCTGCAGAGCCAGCTGGAGTCGGACCAGGTCCGGTGTCTGACTGTATGTCTGACTGTATGTCTGACTGTATGTCTGACTGTATGTCTGGCCACAGATGCTGCAGAGCCAGCTGGAGTCGGACCAGGTCCGGTGTCTGACTGTATGTCTGACTGTATGTCTGACTGTATGTCTGGCCGCAGATGCTGCAGAGCCAGCTGGAGTCGGACCGGGTCCGGTGTCTGACTGTATGTCTGGCTGTATGTCTGACTGTATGTCTGACTGTATGTCTGGCTGTATGTCTGACTGTATGTCTGACTGTATGTCTGGCCGCAGATGCTGCAGAGCCAGCTGGAGTCGGACCGGGTCCGGTGTCTGACTGTATGTCTGACTGTATGTCTGACTGTATGTCTGGCCGCAGATGCTGCAGAGCCAGCTGGAGTCGGACCGGGTCCGGTGTCTGACTGTATGTCTGACTGTATGTGTATGTCTGACTGTATGTCTGGGACTGTATGTCTGGCCGCAGATGCTGCAGAGCCAGCTGGAGTCGGACCGGGTCCGGTGTCTGACTGTATGTCTGACTGTATGTCTGAGACTGTATGTCTGCCGCAGATGCTGCAGAGCCAGCTGGAGTCGGACTGGGTCCGGTGTCTGACTGTATGTCTGACTGTATGTCTGCCGCAGATGCTGCAGAGCCAGCTGGAGTCGGACCGGGTCCGGTGTCTGACTGTATGTCTGACTGTATGTCTGACTGTATGTCTGACTGTATGTCTGACTGTATGTCTGCCGCAGATGCTGCAGAGCCAGCTGGAGTCGGACCGGGTCCGGTGTCTGACTGTATGTCTGACTGCATGTCTGACTGTATGTCTGACTGTATGTCTGGCCGCAGATGCTGCAGAGCCAGCTGGAGTCGGACCGGGTCCGGTGTCTGACTGTATGTCTGACTGTTGTCTGACTGTATGTCTGGCCGCAGATGCTGCAGAGCCAGCTGGAGTCGGACCGGGTCCGGTGTCTGTCTGTATGTCTGACTGTTGTCTGACTGTATGTCTGGCTGTATGTCTGGCCGCAGATGCTGCAGAGCCAGCTGGAGTCGGACCGCGTCCGGTGTCTGACTGTATCTCTGACTGTATGTCTGACTGTATGTCTGACTGTATGTCTGGCCGCAGATGCTGCAGAGCCAGCTGGAGTCGGACCGGGTCCGGTGTCTGACTGTATGTCTGACTGTATGTCTGTGACTGTATGTCTGACTGTATGTCTGACTGTATGTCTGACTGTATGTCTGCCGCAGATGCTGCAGAGCCAGCTGGAGTCGGACCGGGTCCGGTGTCTGACTGTATGTCTGACTGTATGTCTGGCCGCAGATGCTGCAGAGCCAGCTGGAGTCGGACCGGGTCCGGTGCCGTCAGATGGAGGAGGAGAATGACGAGCTGAAGGAGGAGATCAGCCGGCTGGAGATCGCCATGAACAACCTGCCCGTGGGCGACGGGTGCAACATGCGCGACACGGCCGCGCAGATCGCCCAGCTGCTGCAGTCGCTCAACGACGACATGGTCAAGGCGCCCGAGCTCTGCAACCGGCTGCGGATGGCCGCTCAGCAGGTGACGCGGCGGCGGCAAACTGGTGACCTGTCCGGGTCACTGTCTGGGGTGGGGGGTGGGGGTGGGGGCACCGGGTGATCTGTCTCGGGGGGGGGGGGGGGAGTGGGCACTGGGTGACCTGTCTGTCCGGGCACTGCCCAGGGGTGGAAGGGAGGGGGGGAGGCGTTACCGACCGCCGACCACCATTTGCAGCCATCAGCTGCAGTGACGGCGAACGGATAGAAGCATATCCACTAAAGAAAGAATGCGCTCGTGAATCTTCTGCAAATAATTTAATCGGAACTCAAAAATGGCAGGACATATGCATATTGATTATTTATTGACAAGGACTTCTAAAATAGAACATATGATAGCCAAAATGAATAACAATTTCCTACGGAATTTCCTACGGACCTACGGCTACCTCCTTTCAATTAAAGGGACTATCCCACCTTCTTAAATGTTGTTAAAACCAGTTAAATTGTGCCCGACTTTATAGATTGGATGACCAGGAACACGGTTATGGCATTTATTTTTCATTAAACATCTTAGGCTTCCCATATTCCAAACATAAAACTTTCAAATATGTGACGTCACAGCCCAAAATTACCTCCTTCCCCAGGCCACATTATAGTCATAAAGCTGATTCTTTTTACTCTGTAGGCACCACGACAAAGTTCAGACCAAGTTTTAAGCGATTTTTCAACGAACAAACCCATTTAAATCAGAATGACTAAACGAGGTGACGTCACACTAACGGTCGCTCCATGTTGAAGATGGGCCTTGTGCAAGGCCCATTTTCAAATGAAGGGAACGAATTTCTTCAACACCAAGAGGCCGCGGGGGTTGCAACCTAGATAGATAGTGGTTTCTGAACCTCGCCGCAAACTTGGCTATCTCAACTCAAACCCCATGTTAACCCTCGCCCGTAAACGGTGTTTTGCCACCTTCGCCCATGCAGGGGGGGGGGGGTTGGTGCGACCCCCCCTGCGTTTGAAAACGGACTCGTAGAGCTTAGCGGAAAAGACCAACGGATTGCTCTCAACGAGATCTCGCGATTGGTGGTATATTTTTGGTCCTAGGTCAACATTTGCCCTACTTATGACCGGTCAAAGGTCAAATTTTCGGAAAAATCTAACTTTTTCAGATTTTCGCGCCGATTGCGGCAAAACGGTAAGAGATATCGACTTGAAACCTTCACTATCGTGATCCTTGATCAATTCTCTATCGTTTGGTGTGTATTTCGATGTCATAACTCTAAAAATGATGCGTTGGGAGCATCGGAAGTCTGCAAGGTCATTTGTGCATTGAGTCACGTCAGGCGTGTGACGTCACTGACCTGACCCTGACCCAAAATGAACTACAAGAAACAGCCGACGATGCCTGAAATGGATAGCAAATTCGAATTCAGGGCATCAAAATACCCCGAAAAGGCATACAAGTGCAAGAAGTCATTACAGGTCAACCGAGGTCACTGACCTGACCTTGACCTTTAGTAACCTTGAAAAGGTCAACGGACATTGTGCCAATGTCAAATCAGCCAGTTATGATTCTAAAACAATCCATCAGTGTGTCAGGTCAGTCGGCATTTATACCAATGTGAAGCAATCTCCACTTTAGCGTAAATCTGGCCGGAGGTTGTTCCCTTTATGACGTCATAACTCCGTGACCTGACATGACCTTGACAAAAAAATACCAATAGTTGCGCAAAGGATGCCCCATAGGGTAATGAAAATTTGAGCAGGCTTTCTTAAACGGTTCGGCGTGTAGCTAAGAAAAACCTCAGGGGGGGGGGGGGGGGTGTGCACCAACCCCCCCCCCTACATGGGCGAGGGTCAAAGGTGGGAAAGTCCCTTTAAACTCGTGCAGCATAGTCAGCCGTCCGGCAAGGAAGCACTCTATAGAACGTTTCATCTTGTAACGAGATGAAAGACTATCGTTTCCTAATTTTCTCTTTCCCTGATTTGCAAATAACAATGGAACACAATGACATTAGTTCGTGAAACTAAGAAATTTTCTGCGCAGCAGAAAGAAACGTGTTTGCTGTTCGTTCAGTATTCAGCGGTTGTCCTTTCCACTGCAAAATTTTGTTGAATAAGGTATCAGAGAGCGAAGGATGATGATGCTTTAGAAGGCAGACAATAATCCATTGACCTGCATATACACCTCGAATAAAGAAAAGGAATTATCTAAGTGCCTAAGTACCTGGATGTTTTTGCTACGCAATTAGTTATAAGAGTAGTTATCAGTAGGTAAGTACCTAACGGCTAACGGCAGGCCTCCGCTTCCTGAGATACACTTAATGCAGGCCATAAGGAAACTTCAATGGCATAATAGGGGCAGCGACTGCGATTACGCGTGTCAATCGGCGTCCAAGTGGCGATAAGCGTGGCTCGGTAAATTGGGTGCAGGATGTAGGCCATCGGCTGCAGCGGCCACCTCAGCGCTGCGTCCCTGCAGGCCTGTAACGACCGCCCGGGCGCGGCGCCGCCAGAGTCGGCCTCAGAACACTGGACTGACATTCATATGAATACTGTCACGGGAATCTGTTTGTGTCGGTTTGTGTGCTGTTATATGTGACGAGGGTAAATCATCCTCTACCTTGGCTGCAGTCTTTCTTTTGAAGTGCAGCAACACGGGGAAAGGAGGTTGAACTAACGGCTAATTGAACGGTGAACTAACGGCTAAAACCGGTTCGATCTCTCTCTCCCTCTCCCCCCGCCATCTTTATCCATCCATCCCCCAGGTTAATTGGTTCGGTGACTCAAATTTGGCAGCCCTCCCTCGGCTCTCCCTCGGCCGGGCTCTGTAGCAACGCCGCACTGTTGTGTGACACTTTCAATTCAAGAGAGACTACCGTGGCTTAAAACACGCCCGTAGCGTTTCCCTAGGAATGACAATGGTGCCTGCTGACCGGGACGTGTTCTCGGACAGTTAACCCGCGCCCCACTGGGGTCTGCGACCTGCGTATAACACGCCCTACTGGGGGGGGGGGGGGGGGCTATTCATAGCCCCCCTCCTAACTCCGAAACTACTGGGCCGATCGTCAAAATTCAAACGGCGTCTGATAGCCCCGGAAAAACTGTCGCGCGAAACCTAATTTCATTGACCTCGAGGTCACCGATGACGTCACAGGTCAGGTCAAAGTAAAAATTATTAGCATTTTGGCTTGTTCACGTTTTGGGCCCTGGCCGCCGTCTTACAAGTCAGATCAGGCTCATTTTTGGATCACACACTCGGGAACAGATGCTCTAGTTACCCTGAGGGTACCAAACTTGTCGTTTAATTTTCAGGTTAAGGTCAGGTCATCACAGGTCACGAAAATATTATATCATGCGTCGGTCACGTGACACATGTTTTATGGTCCATTTAGGTCAGAGATTTCGAATTTGATGTCGTCTGTGTCATTCGAGGTCATTTTGAGTCGAATTTAGCTTATGATAGGTCACTTTCAGGTCAAAAAAGGTCAAATTTTGAATTAAAATTTTTTTCAACAAACAAGGTGTCTATTGGATGCAGTTTGAGCTCAGGAACACGATGGTGCTATTTATATTGGCGTACGATGTCAAATACGTGGTGAAAAATTGATTTGAAAAATTAATAATTGTGAATTTTTTGCAATAATGCGTAAAACTCTGCCATTTTTGAAGATATTTAGCTAAAACTTGCTAGAGTTAGTCATAATAATGCGTTTTATCACATATATTCTGTTTTTTTTTTCGAAAAGTCAAAAAAATGAAAAAAGTAAAAATATTAATTTTGGATATTATTGTATTAAATTATCAAAATTTTCAAAATTTTGAAAATCCGAGATAGCAGTTTGATAGCGCAGTCTATTCTGAGTCCTCTCATGCAAAGAAATCGGATCTAGCTTAAAAACTGAGCTCTTGGGAGCGATTGTCGTGGTTCAATGTTTTGCGTCGAAATCGGCCGAACATGACGTCACTCTGACGTCAATTCCGGCCGACCTATAGTAGGTACGAAGTTCAAATTTTGCCACAAGGTGTTTAATTGATGCAGCCTAAGGTACTGAGAGTTTGGCGTCGATACGTCAAGCGGTTTGGAAGTTATTGCAGAAAAACGGGAGGGGGGCTATAAATAGCCCCCCCCCAGTGGGGCGCGGGTTAATGGTGCCTGCTGACCGCGCTGCGGATAGACAATGGTGCCTGCTGATCGTGATGTTTCGCTCGGACAGATAATGGAGGGCGAGAAGCGGCTGACGAACGAGCGGACCACGCGGGCCATGGACCAAGCCGAGGTGCAGTTTCTGCGCACGGAGAACCAGCGGCTGCGCGAGCTGGCCTTCCGCTCCAACATGACGGCGTTCCAGGCGAGCGTGCAGCTGCCGCAGAACCAGCTGCAGTACCAGCAGCAGCTGCTGGGCCAGCCGCTGGGCCCCGGCGGCGTGTGCGCCGACCCGTACGCCGGCGCGGCCGGCGCGGCCGGCGCGCCCAAGCGGCGCGGCCTGCTGTCGCGCGTGTTCGGCAAGAAGGAGCCGCAGGAGGACACGGGCCCGGGCACGCTGCAGTTCCAGGACGGCAGCCTGGCCCAGTTCGACCCGGCCATGACCATGCAGCAGCAGCGGCTCTCGGTGGCGCTGCAGGAGGACCCCAGCGAGGCGGCCCGACGGCTCACCATGCTCAACCAGGAGAAACGCAAAATGAGCTGCTGTCCCCGCTAGGCGAGCCGGCCAGCCTGATCTCCGGCGAATGGCAATAGGGCACAGCCGGCTGGCCTTTTGACAAGCTCATCTGACAATATCATGATATTTTGTTTTGAAATTTGACTTTGTACAGGACTGTCAATAAATGCTCGTTTGCAAACGCTTTACGTAATCTTCGGAGCCATAGGCCCATAGGTACATATGTCTATTGAATGATCTACGCAATATTCAGGCATGCACATTGCACATACGCTCGTCTGCGAAAAATGTCGATAAATAATGAGATTTTAAATCGGCAGCATGTATGGAATCGGCGGCATGGTAGGTATTGCAATTACGTCACATCGCAATCACTCCCGAAATATGAACCCCATCACGGCTTTTCAATAGCTTTCAGGGTCCGATAGCGTAACATTTTTGTGCTTAGAACAGCAAACTGATGTTTCCGCGGTCATCTTCTGGTGCCGTGAAAAAGGCCCCGCGCCGGCATCACACGGTGTGGGTAGACTGTGCCGCTGAACACTCAAGTCAAGCGACACAGTCTACCGGCGCCAGGCGGCTGCTGCCAGTACTGACGGCCGTTCTGCAGGTAACCGCGCGGCGGTAGATAGGTACAGGTCTCGCGGGTTTTAGCGGTAGGTCGCTCGGCGAGCGGGAGGGCAACCAGTTCCGCCTCTGTATCGGTGACCATTTGCTCCGCCCAGTTACTCGCGAGCGCGTACTACGGCACATAGTAAAGTGGGGAGGGAAGGGTTAGAGTGGCAGCCTGCGTAGAGGCTTAAACCGGTTTCTATCGCCTGGGCCGGCGACACGGCATGCCGTCAGGGGACGGGGAAAGGTCAGAGGTCACTCACAATGTGCAGTACCGCGTCCCGTCCTCTCTGCCTGCTGACCAGCGCACGACCTCGGCCGTTGGCCAATCGGCATTGAACGGTCAAGGCCACCCGTAGCCAGCGGGCGGGGTGAGCCGGCAGCGTGCCGATTCATAGGTAGTCGTCCAAAGTTTTAGCGGAAGCCGGGAGACGACTGTAATGTTATTTCTTGGGAACAGTTCTGTCATTTAACCCGCGCCCCGTTATGGTCTCCCGAGCATCGGTCCCATGGGGGGGAGCATTTTGCCCCCCCCCCCCTAAGATCTCGAGAACCACGCAAAATAACAACAAGCAGCAAACGGTGTTGGATGGCCCCAACGAGGAAATACCTTTTGGCTCAAGTTCATTGACCTAGGTCAAACCGATGACGTCACAGTTCAGGTCAAATGTCGAATTTTCACCGTTTACAGGCATTTCAAGAAATGTGTTGTAAAATCGAGTAAAATGCATGTCATTCATCGATAAGGAATCGATGAATAACAATTATTTTTGATGGGGAATTGCTCGTCAAACACATATTTTGCTATTTGGGGTCACTGATACCAGGTCAGGTCACAGAGGCCAGGTCACTGAGAGTCACAATATGAAGATAACTATTATGTGATGGATGTTGTCTGGTCCATTTTACATGACAAATGCGATTATGTGGGTCAGGCAACCCTTGGGCGCCAGTTTGGGTTATGTTCTGGTGAAAGTCAGGTAAAGGTCAGGTCAAATCAGGTCAAATTTCTAATTTGACATTTTTGCTTAAAAAGGGTATCGTTTCGATGCAGCTCGTCACGGGGAGTCTAATGCTGGCAGCTGGTCTTTGTTTTGCGCTACGTAGTCTAAAGTTTTTAAAAATTGAGTTAAAAATTGACGACATCAATTTTGAACAGCTTTTCGTCATAACTTGGCCAAAAAAGGAGGTATCGATCTACAATCTGTTATGTAGATCACCGAGAGCAGGGACTATCATATATATTCCGTTTTTTTAAACTCGAAAAAATACTTTTTTAATTTTATAACAGACCAATTTTTCAATTTGGGGGTCAAAAGCTCAAAAGTTTTAAGATCCCAGATAGCGGTTTTGTAGCGCCGTTTTTTTCTCTACACGACCAGATATAGAGCTTCGAAATTGCTTGTTAACTGTAGCTTTTGTCATGTGAGCGTTTCAAGATTTAATGTTTTTTTGCTCATTTTTGCTCGAACATGACCTCAGTTTGACCTCAATAACCCCTGACCTTAGGTAAGCTAAGACTTGAAGTTTTGTGTGAAGATGTCAAATTGATGCCCGGGTAGCTATTGAAAATTTGGCGGGGCTGCGCGCCGCCGTTTTCCTTGCTATTCAGGAAAATACACGCTTGACGCTATATTGCGCTATATTGCCCACCCCCCAACGGGGCGAGGGTTAACCGTGACCTGCTGAGGCTGGAGGTCGTTTCACAACAAAGTTTTGCTTTCTGCCGCACTATATTTCCAAAACTTTGTCACAAAACTGACCAAGAAATATGTTGCATGAATGCAATCGCAGCAATATTAAAAAGGAAACTAGGCGTAAAACTTTAAGTAACATCACTGTATGCTGATTTTGTGCGTTATTTTTATAACAAAATGGATGTAAGCCACTAAAAAAGCAAAACATAACATTGTTTATATAGAAATATGCCATAACTCGCACCCATATCGTCGTTTTCCGCAGGCGCTAGACGTTTGGGCGGGGATGGATCAGACCTCACAGTTGATCGGCTTTTGATCAAACCAGAGCTTCTTGAAAAGAAGGAGCATGTTGCACGTGAGAGAGGAAGCCGATGATACCCAATTTATAGATTATATAGGCCAATCGTTGATCATAGGTCATACGTTGACCTTCCAAGTCAGTTTAATGACCCAAAGTCGGAAGGGTCTAGACCTGCCTAGAAGTTTTGAGAGAGAGAGAGAGAGAGAGAGAGAGAGAGAGAGAGAGAGAGAGAGAGAGAGAGAGAGAGAGAGAGAGAGAGAGAGAGAGAGAGAGAGAGAGAGAGAGAGAGAGAGAGAGAGAGAGAGAGAGAGAGAGAGAGAGAGAGAGAGAGAGAGAGAGAGAGAGAGAGAGAGAGAGAGAGAGAGAGAGAGAGAGAGAGAGAGAGAGAGAGAGAGAGAGAGAGAGAGAGAGAGAGAGAGAGAGAGAGAGAGAGAGAGAGAGAGAAATTAGCCTTTTTAGAAAACGGTCGGTATAGGTATTAAGCGACAATGCACGGATTTATAATGAACGTTAATCCTTCTCACAGCTAGCCTGCCCAACGCGTTTCCATTTCCATCGCTAGTGACCTCGCCTTTAGGCCATGTGACCGGAAACCGGCAGCTAAACAGCAGATATTCTAGGGGCGCGGAAAGCTTGAAGATTGGCTGTGCTACAATGCTATTCCTAGTGGTTTTGATGCTTTTGAACCTGGCTAGATTGGCTCCATACGCTCCGCAGATCGGCAAATTTGTAGTTAAGCAGCCCTGAAGGCACCGGCCAAGTTCCACCGCTGGTCCCGGCCAAATAAGACACAAGGGACTAAACACAATTTCACATGTTGGAACGTTTCTAAGCTTAAGTCTAGAAACGAACGATTAATGAGACATGACACGCCGAATTCTGGCCTATAATGGGCTCTAGAAACTGGTCACAGACCAGAGGTCATTTTGGTCAGGTTTATGAGATTTTCAGGGTAGGTGTGAGCTTTCAATTGCAGATGGCCTGAAGTCCAAACTTATCCTGACTCCTGACCGCATGGGCATTTATTTATTTATGGGGAGAAAAATAACTTACGGCACAGAAAGCTTCGCTGCTATCCGCCACTATTTACACGAGTTATTCAGGAAAAAACCAAGGAGAGGGGCTCATTTTATCACCCCTAATAAAAAGTAGGGTTTCCATTAAAAGTAAACGGTAACATCGATAAATAACATCTGTATGTTTCTCAATTCAATATGGTGAGTTCTTTCGTAAGGTTAATTAATGCATATTAGGTAAACAATATTGTAAGTTGACATTGGCACGAAATTTCCATTCTATTTTATCCCGTTCGTTTTAGCCCTTCTCGCCTCCCCCCCCCCACACCACCACCACTACCATCAAACCGGCTGAGTTGGCTGAGGCGAGGCTGGCTAAGGCGAGCGCCTCCCCTCCCTTCATGCCAAACAGCGCCTGGCTGTCGTGACCTCTGGCCTCACCGCCCGAAGGCTCGTCCGCTGTCCAAGGACGCCCTGCGCGGGCCGCAGTGATAGCCTCTGCCGAGTCCCGCCTCTATCCACCGGTCACCACGCGCTGGATTCATTCATGCCTCTGTGTTTCAGCGTCCTACCCGTTGGGTGGCACCACTGTAGTCATAGGCGACTGCAGGGAAGCCGCGGTCAGAATGCCCCAAACGGCGGATTTTGTGGTTTTCTTTTAATTTCTCCGAAACTAGCCGGCATACGATCAAACATAGTTCTTCTGAATGCTTGAGACGAGGTGTTAGTATCACTGATGTTAGTTGTCGGACTTTCGTCCCCGTCTTGAGTTGAGATGTTAGTTTCACAACGTTTCGGCCAGTTACTTCTCCGGCCGTCGTCAGGTGTTCTTTGGCCCTTAGAAGGACCTGGATGTTGGTGGCGTTGCGCCGTACGCGTCATACCGTTCGCTATAGTCGTCATACCGCCTGCAGTCGTCATACCGCGACTACAGGAGCTTTCGAACGGTATGACGCGTACGGCGCAACGCCACCAACATCCAGGTCCTTCTAAGGGCCAAAGAACACCTGACGACGGCCGGAGAAGTAACTGGCCGAAACGTTGTGAAACTAACATCTCAACTCAAGACGGGGACGAAAGTCCGACAACTAACATCAGTGATACGATCAAACCTTTTTCCATGCTCATGGGAGGGAGCCATACGAATAAATCGGTCACATCTTCAAGCCTACAAAGCGGAAGACGAAAAAGATATAGCCGGAAAGGCAAAACCTACGCTTAAAACCCACGGGACCTGTACCTATCCGTCGCCCGTCTGTTTGAATAAAACACTTTAGCAAAATGCGTCAAAAGCACGAACACGAAAATGAAAAACCTGGCAACGAGAAGATATTCCTGTCACAAATGAATAACATCAATATCAAGCATTATTGTATTGACCTTACCTTACACTAGGAAAACCAGTTTTCAAATGTTCACTTTCTGCGGTCCGATTGATCCACGCCTCAGTTCCATGATGTTAAATGGACTGGGGCTCCGTTGTCGGGTGCCGTTGTCGGGTGCGCTGGGGCTCCGTTGTCGGGTGCCGTTGTCGGGTGCGCTGGGGCTCCGT